CAGAGAGAGAAGAGAGAGAGAGAGAGAGAGAGAGAGGAAGGTGTTCGAGAACGTTGGAAAAATTGTGGAGATATTGAAATATTGAAAAAAATATGAAGGAAAGTGGAAATGCTAAAAATTTTCAAGCGTTCTAAAAATAATATTCGATGCATTGAAAATGCTTTGACGATATTGGAAAAGTTGAAAATATCGTCGAAATATTTAAAAAATATCGGAAGGAAAGCGAAAGTGTTGCGATCCGAAAATGTATCCTAAAAAATTGTGAAATACAGAAATATCGATAAAAAATGGCGAGATATTTGAAATATTTGATCAGAAATATTGCGAATTAGAGCGAAGGAAAGTCAAATTGTTGTTTCTCGCCAGATGCAAAAAGTTTTCGTGGAACGAACTTGAGAATGTAAAAATTCGATCGAAAAAAAAAAAAAAAAAATACGAGATGTCAGAAATAATAACGCGGATTGGGACAAGGAGAGGATTTTCCTTGGAAAAGTATTCTCGATTCCTGCAGACGATGAAAGTCGAAGCAATTTTGCTCTTTGACACGAGCTGACTCTTTTCGACAAAGGATAGGGAATTAATCGAGATCTGCATACATTGCGAGAACAATATAAGCTCGAGCTAATTGGATGTCAAATTTCACATTCGATTAATTTGGAAACCGTCGTAACAGTTTCGCTTTATAATTTCTATTTAAACATCGAGAAGAAAAATTGGGATTTTCATTTAAAAAGTTCAATCTCCTCGATTCATTCTTCTTCCCTGTTCCACACTCAATGCTCCGTTCTAATTTTCCAAAAATTAAAAGCAACGATCAGTCCATTTTAGAAGCCTCAATTTGTTCCAATCGTATCTGTTCCAATTTCTAAAAAATAAAAACAAGAATCGCTCCATATCTTCTTAGAATCATCAAGCTGAAACCAAGAATTATCGATCTTTGTTGGACCATCCTTTTGTATACTTTAATCTCTTACACCAGATCTTCGTTTAAAAAGTTCAATTTCTTCGATTCATTCTATTCTCTACTCTACATTCAAATACTCTGTTCCATTTTCCTAAAAAATGAAAACAAGAATCGTTCCCTTTTCTCTTAGAGTCTTCAATTCGAAGCCGAGAATTGTCGATCTTTCTTAGACTTTCTTTTGCGAACTTAAATTTTTCCACTAGAATATATCCCTAGATTTCCCTGCAACATTCCATTCCTTACGCCACTACTCTAACGTTCAATTTTAATTCTTCGATTCATCAGAGATACAGGAAAATCCTAAATTCGAATCCAAACGGCAAAGTCACGTTAGCCATTCAAAACGACACAACGCGTCCGTTTGTCCGAGTATTAATCCCTGAATTACGCACGAGTCGCATATGGATATTCATCGAATGGGCGTATATCGATCGTACAATTTCGATGATGATAATTCGAGCGATCGTTACGCGCCGCCAACTTAGCCAAAGTAGCTTGTTACCTCGGTCCATTGTTGTCTAGGGGATTTTCCCTAGTGAATTGAAAATGGGGGAATCGCGTCGGGTCGACTTGGAGCGATGGATGGAAACGTTTGTGCGCGTTGATAATTGGAGGCTTTACATCCCTTCTTTCCCGTCCCGTCTGATTTCTATAAATGATATAATCTTTTGTATGTTGTATGTATTCTGTATGTATATCCTATATGTTGTTGGTGGTGAATTTATGATAGGTGTTTTTGATTTTAAATCGAATTAACCTCGGTTACGATAATTTGTCAGAATTAGATAATTTGTCCGAATTGGAAGAGGTTAGGTTAAGTTGTTTCTTCCAGTAATTTATAGGTTAAATTGGATTTGGATTAAATAGATTAGAAACGTGTTAAATTTACGTGTTCGCGTATGCACAACATTAGATGATTTTCGTGAAACTGATGAATATTGGATTCTGTTGAATAATTGAATCG